CAACGAGAGATCCGCAATTTGCATTTTGCAAAGCTAAATAAGCAAACAAGCATCCCCCTCAGTATCACAAGGGAAAAGCCCAAAATGTCGTTTAATTCTTTTTTAAGGCTGAAGCATAATTTTGCAAAACACACGCAACATCAAAAATCTGAGGACAAAATGGGTTGGCACTAATTCATCTCCATAATACCAAATACATTGTAGTTTATTGGGAAATAGATAACACGAGATAAAATCTACAACATGAAAGTAAATGAAGCAAGCATTCCTTTAAAGTAACTACAGAAAGGTAAACGAAGCCTATCTGCAAAATGAAACAGTAAATGAAGCAAACACAACCACTCCACCAATCTCACAGAAGAAGATATTTTAAAAGATAATAAAGACGAAATGATATCCTATTATTAGCATCCTGCGACAGTTTTAGATGTGAGAGCTCATCAATAGCAAGCACCTGTAAACAATTTTTTAAAATGTTAAAAAAAACTTACATTCCAATCTAGTGTAGTAACATCTTTGCTCTTCTCGTTAGTTCTACCCTTAACATGCTTCAACACTAAGACATTTAAAGGACCACCTTGAGCTCCAGACCTATTGCTACCATCTGCTATTGTCCAAATGCGTGCTGTTGAATCTCCAGAACTGTAATTGAAGTAAGAATCTGAAAATGTATACATAAAGGATATAGAAACCTCGGGATCAAAAGACAACCAATATATACATTTCTTGCTAATCTAGGAGGATGGAGACATGTCAGACTATACAAAGATTTCCAATATACATTCTGTATAAGTATCCTTTTTCCAGTTACACTTGAGACGTACAACATTAATGCTAGGTACAAAACCGTGATTGCTCAGGTACACAATAAAACAGACGATATCATCCCACGCAACTATTGCAATTTGCAATTAAATGAAAGATTCCAATTCGCGTAAGCAAGAGTGAACTAATACTGATAAACCATAAAACTTCATGTGGAGGTACAAAGGCTAAAAAAATAACGTGATCAAAATAACAAGAGATTTTAACATGTAAGCCCTTAATATTTACAAGCCAAAACCAATTCAAATATTTCTTGTGTATCAAAAAAAGGGTGGCTTACCCTGATGCAAGAAGAGAACCTGTTGGATTCCATGCACAAGCACAAACCTAGATGTGGAAAGCAACATATCGTCACATAGGATACAGCTGGAATAGAAAAAATTGGGGATAAGGGAGAATATAAAATATCAAACAATTCTTTTGAGGAAAGAAAGATTATAGAATAAATGAAGAAGTCTGAGAAATGTTCCCACCTCAGAAGTATGTCCTTGCAAAATTGTCACATCAGAACTAGAAATTTCACAGGACTGAGATGTTGAGGTCGTAGATATATCCATTGGTTCTGGTCCTACGAATAAAATAGTGATGCACAGGATCAATCATCAAAAAGTTGTATACTTGTATGTCTGTCTGTGGAGTTCAGATCATTGGTGATGAGTGGGAACTACAGAACCCATCCTCTGCTGAGGCAACAAAACAAACAAAAAAACAGTTCCACTAGAAAGTAGTTTTTTTTTTTTTTTTGCCTTGATAAAAAGACAAACTTTCATGGAGAAAAAGTGAAATAATTTGCATACAAACAAACAAGCCCACAAAATCCACTAGAGAGTAATTTAAAGTATCCATTCACTTTTAACATTCTTGCGACTTCATATGAACTCACGGATCAAATTAATAATGCCAACCAAATGTAACAAACATACATAAGGACTAAATTATCCGCCAAGAAAATGATATGTATTAAGTCAAACAGTTTAAAGAAAACCTGATAGTATCTGAAAAACACAATAGAGAAAAAGGCATTGGTATGTACAGACATACTATGAAAAGAAAACAACATATAATGGTAATTTTCAAGGATACAAACATGGACTAAAGAAAGACACTGAAGAAACGATACCTCCAAAAACTCCATTCTCTCCTTGGTTTGCATGAACCTTTTCATCTTGATCCATAACAATATCTTTATCTGTGAAGTCCTCATGATGCTTTTCTCGCTCCTTGTCCTTTTCTATTTTATCTCTATCCCTATCATGCTCCTTATCCCTTTCCAATCTTTCTTTCTCCCTTTCAAGTCGCTCCTTCTCTCTTGCACGTCCACGTTCAACTTCAATTTCACGTCGTTCCTTCTCTCTTACACGTCCTCGTTCAATTTCAAGTTCTTTATCTTTCTCTTTATCTTTTAGTAAACTCTTCTTTTTATCTTTGATTATTTGACGCAATTCATGGACATCTTTTGTAATAAGGTCCAAAGGCTGTAGGAATGAAAAATCTTCATCTAGATCTGTGTCATTCTGACAAGATTAACACAAAAGTTTCTCAGGTTGCAGCCTGCATAGATTTTAAATAGATACAAGCATACAAAGATAGGAGAGAAAAGAAGTATATTGTGCTAACATTACTCAAGTTAGCTTCCATCTCCAAATACTGAAGCCCTTTCTGTACAACAGTAACTAGAGCACCAGGTGGAACCAAATTGCCATCAATAGGACACTTGTTAATGCCAGCTTCATATCCTAAAGCAAAGGCTGAATGTATGAAACCTAAAAAGGAAATGGAGAACAAAAAGAAAATATTAGAATTTGTTTTCTTAGATATAAGATTGGTTAAAAAATATAAAATGAACAGAAAATGAACTTTCAGAGAGAAACTAACAATTGGCTCGAGATTTTATATTTGCAAAAAAAAAAAAAAAAAAAAAAAAAAAAAAAAAAACTTGTATTTAGAAGAAATTCATTTTTCAGGACTGAGACCTATATTCCTCGACATTGTCAGAAAAAAGTTAATCGAAAGAAGTACAATCTAGAGAAACTAGGCACAGATGTTTCACCTAGATTAGAAGTATACAGAGAGGAAGGGTTCAGAATTGGACACTCAATGTTGGGGACCCTCAGAAGGTATTCTAATCCTATGGAGTCTCCAACAATTTCCAAGTTTGAAAATTTGTAATGTCTAGTGGGTGGAAGAATTTTTTTGAGGGGCCAAGGTAGGTGTTATATGCTAGATTCACTTCTAACCATTGCCCTAATACCCTTTCAACAAAGGTAGCCAAGTTGATTCTTTATTCTTTTAGATCTAAACATGTTTGATTCAGCACTTGGGTTCAAGCACTACCTTCCCATAGAGCAATCAACAAGAGACAAATGAAAACCAAGAAGGGCCTAGACTCTTAGGTCATCTAAGGTAAAACACCGGTAAGTCCTTATTTACACATCTTATCAACTCCCAGCATACATATCAGTCCTCTTTTTGACTGAACTCCAGAAGGTTTTAGTTTGAAAGTAGGTCAGATTCTTTCTGTGGATTGTGACTCAAGCAAGCACATATCTGAGGCTTGATCGCATGCTTTGAATCTGTTTGTTTGTTGAGAGGATTGGGTGGTGGTTTTTTCAATCTTATAGAGTGACTTCTTTCCCTGATCATACTTGTTCTAGAGTGAAGGAGGAAATTTGTTATCACCCTCCCATCCCTTTTGTGGAATATGAAGGGCCCTCTGTCAATCCCCTTTTGTTGCTATTATTTTGAACATCCATTTAGCACAAAGATGGCATTCAACAGATCTTGAGAACACCCAAGAGGACGTTTAAACTGTTCCTCACTTCAGTGCTTAGATTTAAACTTAGGGTTCTAATCGTTTCAGAGGTAAAGTTAAGCATGACAGACGAGAGCATACTTGGTCGTCCACGGTCTAAATTCAAGTACACTTCAAAGTAATTGCTGTGTATGAAAATGAAAACGCATGTACTTATATTCTAGTTTTTCCTTTCAATGAAAGGGAATGACAAAGCCAAAATTCATAAACCCGGTTACCCAGACGATTGTCATTGTTCGCGCCAAGCAAAAAAATGGCAGGGGCGCCAGGCTTTTGGCCGTAGATAGTGCATCACTCGCGTAAGCAAAGCCTAACTTACTCTAGAACTCACTTATTAACACCACATCAAAATACCGAAAACCCTAACAGAACCACACACAATGTAAAAAAAAATGAAGAAGAAGAAAGAAACAGAAAGCTCAAGTAAACCAAACCGACCAGAGTTGCATTGATCTAAAAATTTCGATTACCCGAACAATAAATTTCTAGCCCTTGATAGCTCAAAAACCAATCCTTGATGCTACGTTTCTAAATAAATAAATAAATAATTAAGAAAATTAAGCTCAACATTTCCTTCTGTAATGAGAGCGAATTGCAGAAAATACCTCATCTATCCAAACAGATGAAAAGATACCAAACCAAACTAGAAAAACTTAGAAGGAGCTAGAAAGGCGAAAACCACCTGATTCCTGAAGGTACCGAAAGACGAGGTAATTCAATTCGACGGAAGTGATGGACGTCATGGCAGCAGAAGGCCGGCTGGGAGGCCGGAGAGGGGTTAAACGATCATGCGGGCGAGGTGGAGAAATTTTCAGTAGATGTCAGTTGGAGGGAAGAATGAAACGGAAACCCGCTTAATGTTAACGGGAATGGGAGAGCCGGTGAAACTGCAGATTTGAGGCTTCCAGGGTGCCGAATAAGTCGTAGAGAGAAAGAAACCCACGGTCACTTTAACGAGAACCGTCAATGACATTACGCTGCGGCGTCTTAGAGCCTTGTTTGGTGACCCACCAATGCTATACGGACATCTGGCGGTTCTCCTCATTTACTTTGTCCATCTGTCATTGACAGCTGGCGGAGCCCGTGACTGCAAACTTAGCTTTTGTAATTGTTTTTCCTAAAATTACAATCCCCTTCCCCATCCCTATTTTTAACCTTTTCTTTTTTTTTTTTCTCAAAACTTGGGTCTCATATTTTAGTCCATTTTCACACTAAAATTTAAAAGAAAATAACAAAATTAATAATAATACTTTTTTTTTCTTTATTTAACATAACTGGGTACGACCAAATTTATTCCGTTAATTTATAACAAAATTAGGGGTATGCTAAATTTATGGGATAAAAAAGGAGGTCTAGAAGCTACAAAAATATCAAGGTCAATATGTGGTTGAGATTATTGAAATTTAGTTTTGAACTGTGCCAATTAGAACGTGGACGATGCTCAATGGACTTTTCTGCTCTTTCTGGCTGCGCTGACTCGTGAAGAAAAATAAAATATTTCAAAATTCATTCACGGAACTCGTATTCATCTCTGCACTTGTACTGCAAAATTTCCAGACGTGGGGGATACTCAACGGCTGTCCGTCTCTACTATAAACACACAACAAATTGAATCCCAAACCATTTCAGTAACAGAGCTTTAACTCAAACGCCATGGATTTACACACTTTCCTCTACTCTTTCTTCTCCCCTCTGTTTCTTCTTTTTGCTTTCAACCTCATCACTCGATCTCTTCGACCTCGCAAAAACTTACCGCCGAGTCCGCCATCTCTTCCGGTTATTGGCCATCTTCATCTCTTGAAAAAGCCACTCCATCGAAATTTCCAGAATCTCTCCGCCAAATATGGTCCTGTTATGTCTCTCCGCCTCGGATCTAACCTCGCTGTCGTTGTATCTTCGTCGTCAGCGGTGGAGGAGTGTTTCACTAAAAACGATGTCGTTCTTGCCAACCGTCCTCGTTTGCTAATTGGAAAATACCTCGGCTACAACTACACTACCATGATTGGGGCTTCATACGGTGATCACTGGCGGAACCTCCGCCGAATTGGCGCCATCGAGATCTTCTCTTCATCTCGAATCAACAAATTCGCTGATATCCGGAGGGATGAAGTGAAACGATTAGTGCGGAAACTGTCGCGCAATTCGATCCATCAATATTCGAAAGTAGAAATGCAATCGGCGTTGTCGGAGATGACGTTCAACATCTCGATGAGAATGGCGGCCGGGAAGAGGTATTACGGCGAGGACGTGACGGACAAGGAAGAGGCGAGGAGGTTCAGGGAGTTGATTAAGGAGATTGTGGCGGCAGGAGGAGTATCAAATCCAGGGGATTTTTTCCCCATTCTGAACTGGATCTCGAAGGGGTTCGAGAGGAAATTGATTGAATTGGGGAAGAAAGTGGATGCGTTCTTGCAGGGGCTCATCGATGATCACCGCAGGAAGAAGGAAGAAGGAAGGAACACGATGATCGATCACTTGCTCTCTCTGCAGGAATCGCAACCGGCTGTCTATGACGATCAAATAATCAAAGGATTTATACTGGTAAATAATCTTTTTTTTAAATAATTCAAATAGCTCTAAATTGTATTATTAGTAACAATTGATTTGTAGGTGTTACTGACTGCGGGGACCGACACATCGGCCGTGACAGTTGAATGGGCCTTGTCTCATCTATTGAACAATCCTGAAGTGTTAAAGAAGGCAAAAGACGAAATAGACACTCAAATTGGACAAGAACGCCTCGTTGAAGAACCGGACGTGTCCAAACTACCATATCTTCAAGGAATCATCTCTGAAACTCTGCGGCTGACTCCCGCAGCTCCGATGTTGTTGCCCCATTATGCAGCCAATGACTGCACAATATGTGGATACGACGTGCCACGTGACACGATGCTACTAGTCAATGCATGGGCCATACATAGGGATCCAAACGAATGGGAGGATCCCTTAAGTTTCAAACCCGAGAGATACGAAAAGTCAGAAGTCGAGGTACACAAGCTGTTGTCCTTCGGAGTAGGAAGGCGAGCTTGTCCTGGGTCTGCCATGGCGCATAGGATAATGGGTCTAACTTTGGGGGCTCTGATTCAGTGCTTCGAGTGGGAGAGAATTGGAGCAGAAGACTTGGACATGAACGAGAGGGTAGGTGCCACAATGACCAAAATGGTGCCGTTGGAGGCCATGTGCAGAGCTCGTCCCACCGTGGATGGCTGCCTTCTTGACTGAGGACTATTTATTTCAAGTTTATAAAAATGTGTGCTTTGTATTTTACTTCCTTAGTTCCTTTGTTCTTGGCATTGTTTGGCTATAGATATATATATATATATTGCCCTTTCATTATATGAGGCAATAAAATGTATTTAAACTCAAACAAAACTATCAATTTTGAAAGGGCAAAAATGCTTGGAACGTGATCAAAGTGGAATCAAAGTTGAAGTTATTAAATACTGAAAATATATTATTTTTATAGAGCCTAAACATTAGTATCACATGATGATAATATTTGTGTTATTTTGTCCAATAATATTGGTCCTATTAAAAATATAAAAAATTAATAATTATATAATATCAATCCCATATCACAATTCCTAAGGTTCTTAAATACTAATAGATATTTGAAACTTGTGCAAACGTATTATCCACTCATTAAATTTTTAGATTAAAAAAAAAATACCTAACCCACCGCATTTATAGATATCGTATAGTTTTTTTTTTTTTTTTTCCTTTAAATAAGTACTTACTAACCAAATAATTAAAAATAAGATACAAGTATTTCGTTTAAATGTAGGAAATAAAAGATAATTTAGATCGAAAAAGAGAAAACTCCAACGCAGAGAGTGATGGGGGCAGCCGACACGCCGCCGACAGAAGAGCCTGTCGATGTGGGACTGCGAGCGGCACTAACGGATGGAGGCGTGACGTTGTTAATTCCCACTTTCCGTTACGCATTCCATGACGCTCGCAAATTTCCGCAACGTCAATTCCACTACAACTTTTCTTCTTTTGTTTTTTTTTTTTTTTTCTTTCCCTATTGTTTTATTATTTTGAACCACTATCAATTTATACTTAAAAAAATATTGATAAAAATCTCATCAACTTAGATCTAAATATTCACATATAATATCATAATTAATTAGTTAATTTTCAAAATAATAAAATAAAATCTGTACAAATGGGATTTGAAACTAATTAGTTTGAAATAAAGGGTATTTTTCAGGGTTTTGTTTTCCTTTATGGATAATTAACTAATCGAAATAAATTTTTCCTTTTTATTTTACTAAATAGGGAAAAAAAAAAACAAGAGAACGCAAAGGGATGAGCTTCAAATGATTTGTAAGCATCGAAAAAGATGGGCGTGGGAGGTGGGGGCAGCATATGACTTTTCAGATAACAAATCTGATTCAATGACTTAATGGTATTTTTCTCATGAATTAAAAAGTAGAAAATATTAAAAGAATAAATATATGATCAAAAAATGGAAATTTAAACATTTTGCAATATTAAGTTTGGCTCACTCCAATTTCCATCCCCACAAACGTGGGTGCCACGTGGCCCAATAATATTGTGACAGCACACAATAATGTATTTTATCATTTTTGCCTTATCTTTTTCTCACTCTCATATATTTGAATTTTATTTAAAAGAAGAAAGGGGAAAAGGATGCACTGTAAATTGGGCCACGTGTCGGGTTGCAAAATCAGGTGAAGCCTAAATAAATGCCTCAATATATATATATATACCCCCACCCTGGCGCTTCGTTCTCACTTCCAAAATCAGAATAAAAATACATTATATCGAACATAACAAGTAATGGAAGATCGCTCTCTGCTTTACCTTTTGCTCTCCCTTATCTTTCTCCTTTTTGCTTTCAGTCCCCGCCGACGCAGAAACTTACCGCCCGGTCCGCCGTCTCTTCCCATCATCGGTCACCTCCATTATCTCAAAGTCCCCGTCCACCGAACTTTACAGAAGCTCTCTGCAAAATATGGACCCGTAATCTCTCTCTGGTTCGGATCTCGTCTCGTGGTGGTCGTCTCATCATCGGCGGTGGTGGAGGAGTGCTTCACTAAGAACGACGTCGTTCTTGCCAACCGTCCTAGGTTGCTACTTGGCAAACATGTCGGCTACAACTACACTACGATGGTGGCGTCACCGTACGGCGATCACTGGCGGAACCTCCGCCGAATCGGCGCGATAGAGATCTTTTCGGCTTCTCGCCTGAACAAATTCGCCGGGATTCGGAGGGACGAAGTGGAACGGTTACTGAGAAAGCTATCGAAGAATTCGCTCCATGGATTCTCGAAGGTGCAGATGCAATCGACGATTTCGGAACTGACGTTCAACATCTCGATGAAAATGGCGGCCGGAAAGCGATATTTCGGAGATGACGTGGCGGACGAGGACGAGGCAAGGCAGTTCAGAGAGTTGATTAAACAGATTGTCTCGTTGGGAGGAGTTTCGAATCCAGGAGATTTCATTCCGATGCTGAATTGGTTCCCGAATGTCTTCGAGAGGAAGGTTTCGAGACTTGCGAAGAGGACGGACGCATTCTTGCAGGGACTGATCGACGAGCATCGGAGCAACAAGGAAGAAGAAAGGAACACGATGATCGATCACTTGCTGTCTCTGCAAGAATCGGAGCCTGAATTATATGGAGATCAAATCATCAAAGGAATTATTCTGGTACTTTCCGTTATTTCTCACTCTCCTCTCATTTATCTCAACATTTCGATTCTGTTGGTTATCCCCCTCACGAATTTGGCAATTTTATTTCTGTTTTGGATAATCCCCGAAGAAAGATAAAAATAATGTCAGAACACCGCAATAACGTGTGGCTCTGCTTGATCGAACGTCTCACGTGTAACGATAACATTTACCATAAATATATATATATATAATTTATATTTTGGTGATAATTAGGGGTATATAGATTATTGAATACATAAAGTAGTATGAGGCGGCTGCATTTCGGTGAATGATTTTTCCTAGTTAGTTGTAACTTGAAAACGACTTGTTTCTGTTGAGTATTTTATCTTCTTATCTCTCCTTCTACATATTGGGCGTGAAACTGAATAGCTGCTTAAATTTGTAGGTGTTGCTGTTAGCAGGGACGGATACATCAGCTGTGACAATGGAATGGGCCCTATCTCACTTGCTCAACAATCCGGAGATACTGAAGAAGGCCAGAGAGGAGTTGGACGCTCAAATTGGACAAGAACGACTAGTTGAAGAATCAGATGTGCCCAAGCTACCGTATCTTCAAGGAATCATCTCCGAGACTCTTCGGCTGAACCCAGCTGCTCCATTGTTATTGCCGCATCTCACCTCCGACGATTGCACAATAAGCAACTACAAAGTACCACGTGACACGATTGTGTTGGTTAATGCGTGGGCCATCCATAGAGATCCTAGTCAGTGGGAAGATCCCACGCGATTCAATCCAGAAAGACACAGAAAGTCAGAAGGTGATCACGCGCACAAGTTCCTTCCATTCGGAATCGGACGACGATCTTGCCCTGGGTCGGGCATGGCTCAACGAGTGGTGGGGTTGGCTCTGGCGGCGTTGATTCAATGTTACGAGTGGGAGAGGATTGGCGAAGAGAAAGTGGATATGGCGGAGGGAAGAGGTCTCACCATGCCCAAGGTTGTTCCACTGGAAGCTATGTGCAAACCTCGTCCTATCATCCACAACCTTTTTAATTGAAAATTATGGATTGAGAGGTCTTGTGTACATTTAATAACCAATATGCATCTGTAATCTCTCCTCTTGTAGTGTACGAGATTTGAGCTGCATATACAATGACGCACCAGATTTACCTTAAAAAAAAAAATGTTGTTTTAGTTTCAGTATTATATTTTAAGTAGGATAAAAAGATGTTTGCATCTTTGTCTAGTAGCTTGTTAATTTATTGTATCTATTAATATGTTTTATAATCTATTTGTCTTTTTGTATTTTGTCTATACTTATTATATTATTTCAAGAATATTTTAACTATAAATTTTTGAGATGTTAATCGAGTGGTCAACCTCATATAAGATGTTAACCTCATTGTCATTGTTGGGTCAGTTAATTGGCCCCAAAATTATATAGGATCAATCGCAGCTCATTGGGCTTATTCGGCTTGATTAACCAATGAAATAAATACTTTATATTAAACAATAGCTAAGTTTGAAATTTTATATAATTATCTAATTACCTCAAACTTAAATCGATTTTGCAAGCTAATAGTGGCGAATTCTTTTCGCATGTTCTTAAGTTCCCAATGAAACTTTTGATTCGTTTGTATTGATACAAGTGTTAAAATATATTCTAACTATCCTTTACTTATTTGTTTTATTTATGCTTATTATGAATTTTAGATTTATAGGTAAGACTTGCTCTTAATCACATACGAGCGTCTACAAGATCCTTTTGAGGTATGAAGTAACATTTAGCCTAATAGTAAAAAGCACTCATGCCCCTAACCTAGCACTCAACGAAACTTTAAGAATACTTGTGTTCTTTCCACAAGTCCACAAAGTTTAAAGGTGTGATGGTTATGGCGAGAGAGATGTCGAATGTTAGAAAACAAGTACATAAACGGCTAGGAATCACGAACCTCCACAATTATAGTATATTATCCATTTTGAACATAAATTATATACCTTACTTTAGTTTTCTCCAAAAAAAAAAAAAAAAAAAAAAAAAAAAAAAAAAAAAAAAAAAAAAAAAAATCAGTACAATAATAACAAACCTATGATCTTCTCATTTGTTAGCTAACGTCAATTCCTCTCCTACCCATCACCGATTACAAGAATGGTAGAGTGCGGTGGGTTGGCTAGCTTTTGTATGGATGCGTGACCATTTATGAAGAAGACATAAAGTACTTGAGGATATTGCACACGTGTAATAGAACGCGGCAAGAAAATACTGTGATTTTCTTTTTTTGTTTTTTTTAATTTCAATTTCCATTGTCCTTTTCCCATTTCATTTATTTCTTTTTCTATTATTTTTTTTTTAAATTCTAAATTCGTTTTCTTTTCTACAATTTATTTCCTGTTATATTTTCCCTATAATTTATTTTCCTTTCATTTTCTAATTCCATAACCATTTACCATTTGATTCCTTTTTTTTATTTATTTTAAATTTAGGCATTGCAGTGTATATTTGCAAAAGAAAATGGAATTGATATTCTCAAAGAATTTGTAGAAAAGAAAAAAAAAAAAAAGAAAATTGAAAGCGAAAAAGGAAAGAAATCATGAAAAATAATGAACTTTAAAAACGTTGAAGAAGGAAAAACAAAAGAGTACGCCATTGAATTGAAGCAGGTGGGTGGGTTATAAAACGTGGATGGAGCCCACTTCTCCGTATATATATAGCTGACCTTGGCCCACTCTCCCTCCAGACGAGCACAGATATGGAGGTTCACTCTCTGCTTTGCCTTTTCCTCTTTCTTATCCCTATCCTCTTTCTTTTCAACCTCCGCCGTCGCAGAAACTTACCGCCTACTCCGCCGTCTCTTCCCATCATCGGTCACCTCCATTATCTCAAAGTCCCTGTCCACCGAACTTTCCAGAACCTCTCTGCAAAATACGGACCAGTCTTCTCTCTCTGGTTAGGCTCTCGCCTCGTGGTGGTCGTCTCATCGTCGGAGGCAGTTGAGGAATGCTTCACTAAGAACGACGTTGTTCTGGCCAACCGTCCTAAGTTTCTAGTCGGCAAACTCGTCGCCTACAACTGTACTACGGTGGTCGGGTCGCCGTATGGCGACCACTGGCGCAACCTCCGCCGAATCGGCGCAATGGAGATATTTTCAGCGTCTCGTCTCAACCAGTTCGCTGGGATCCGGATGGAGGAACTGAAACGGTTACTAAGAAAGCTATCGAGGAATTCGGTCCATGGATTCTCGAATGTAGACATGCAATCTCTGATTTCGGAACTTACGTTCAACATCTCGATGAGAATCGCGGCTGGAAAGAGGTACTTCGGTTCCGATGTGACGGACGAGGAGGACGTGAGGCAGTTCAGAGAAATGATTAAACAGGCTGCGTCCGTGGCAGGCGTATCGTATCCAGGAGATTTTATTCCAATTCTGAATTGGATTTCGAAGGCGTTCGAGAGGAAGCTTTTGAAACTTGGAAAGAGGATGGACACGTTCTTGCAGGGACTGATCGACCAGCTTCGCAGCAACAAGGAAGAAGGACGGAACACCATGATCGATCACTTGCTGTCCCTACAAGAGTCAGACCCTACCTACTATAATGATCAAATAATCAAAGGAATGGTTCAGGTCACGGATCAAGCCCACTGTTAACTGACTATCCTTTTTAGACTTTTCCTTTTTTATACTTCTATTTAGCCTCTAAAGACGCAGTCGGTTTGCAGGTGTTACTATTAGCAGGAACGGAAACATCAGCTGTGACGATGGAATGGGCTCTAGCTCACTTGCTCAACAATCCCGAGATACTGAAAAAGGCGAGAGAGGAGGTGGACACTCAAATAGGACAAGAGCAACTAGTGGATGAATCAGACGCGTCTGAGTTACCATATGTTCAAGCAGTCGTCTTAGAGACTCTTCGACTAAACCCAGCTTCCCCATTGCTAGTGCCGCATCTTACCTCCGACGATTGCACCATAAGCAATTACGAAATACCTCGCGACACAATTGTGTTGGTTAATGCATGGGCCATCCATAGAGATCCTAATCAATGGGAAGACCCCACGCGGTTCAATCCAGACAGACACCTGGAGTCTGAAGGCGATATGTTGTACAAGTTGGTTCCATTTGGAGTTGGACGACGATCGTGTCCTGGAGCGGTTATGGCGCAACGAACAATGGGGTTGACGCTGGCTGCGCTGATTCAGTGCTACGAGTGGGAGAGGGTTGGCGAGGAGATAGTGGATATGAGGGAGGGGAGAGGCGTCACCATGCCCAAGGCGGTGCCTCTTGAAGCTATGTGCAAAGCCCGTCCTATCATCCACAAACTGTTTGATTGAAAATCGTGCCATCATTAATGGAGTTTAACTGTTTTAGTACTTGTAAGTTGCATGTACAAGGAAGTACCTGTATCTGACAACCCATCAAATAAATATCTTATATTAAGAAGAAAAATAACGAGTTTTGAAGGATATATATTGTAATATTAAAAAAATATAATTTATATTGTTCAAAATTAATTCGACATATTCTTTCACATAAAGTTCTGCCACCCAATAAAATGCTTCTAGAGTGGATCAAAAATAAAGAATTAGTAATCTACTTTTATTTAATTTGTCCTAATTTTTAAATATTTAAAATCTAAAATATATGGACCGCAATTATTTTGATTGTATTTATTCAACCTCTCCAATTTAACTGTATTATTGTCACTGCTATTGAGTCAGAACTTATTTAATAAACATACATATCTAAGTCGTTAAAAATTAAAAATATATATTAAATATAAATGTATTCTAAATTTTATGTGTAATTTAAATATTTTAAAACTAAAAAGGCAGATGGAGAATAATGTATTAAAAAATAGTTTTGAAGATTATCTAATTATTTTTAAATTTGCAGTTTCAATTAATTTTGGTGGAATTTGAGACCTCGGTCATGATAATAACATGCAAACATGACGTAGAACATGTCGTAAATATTGGTGTCGCATAATTTATAATAGGCAGGGAAATTACAGTATGAACTAAATAATTATTATTACGTGACGTAATGTTTAGAAATTGAAAATTGAATTTTTACACTTTTCAAAAATGAAAATTGGCAATATGAAATGGGGAAAGAATATGTTCGGTTTAATGGCCAGCACCCTTCCTGCTCGGTCCCGAAGCCAACGTAAATGCTACGCCGCCGTCTCCGCTCGAGCGGCTACCGGAATCTTCTGGCGACGATGCTGCTATTTCCGAGTCGGAAATAGCAGAGCCGTTATTGGTACGTTGGTGCTCTATCGTTGAACCGGATCGGAGCGGTCTGCAATCCACGAGAGGAAGAAACCGTGTGGAGGCCATTAGCACCATAATTAGAAATAAAGAGGAGTTCTTCATCTTGGGCATCGCCGGAGAGTTTAGATTCGGCGACAGCATAAAGAACGGAGCAGGAGAAAGAAGAGAAAGGATTGGTATGGCATCTCTCTACTTGCATTGAAACTGTGGTTGGGTTCTTTATATAAGGGCGATGGGTGGCCATGGACGGTGAAAGAAGCTTTCCGATGTGGGTCCCCTTTGTGGAGATAGTGTTTGACTCCAAAGCCACTTTTCCTAAATTTTAGTACGGGAATTTTTTTTCATTTATACATAATAGATTAATTTTTACAATTTTGAATTTGTGTTGAAAACCATTATATTAAATATAAAATTGGGAACTTATTTAAATAAATTAATTTTAGTTACTTAAAACTCCTCCTTGTGCATAAAAAGGTTTTTTAATTGACAATTGATTTATTTTTCCAATTTAAGATGCTCAACTTTCATACAAATAAATGAAAGTTAATACTCAATTTTGGATTTTACATATTTTTTAATATCATGTATGTAAAAACAAAATTGAAGCACTACAGTTCAAATATATACTTAAATTTACAATTAAACATTAATATATAAATGGTATG